TAGAGCAGGGAAATTCATAAAATCCCATCATAATCATGCATCAGCCTCTTCTATCAGCTTTTACCCCAACTGTATTCAATCTTCATTCCTTTCTCCATTCACCCATATTTTTCAACTTCTCAAGTTCAAATAATAAAAAAAGCAACAAAAACAAAAAACATCTTCTACCTGATTACCATCTCACAAAACTCTCCCAGATTGCCCAATTTCTTTTTGTTCTTCAGTTCTACTCTACTAATCATTTAATTTTTAAATGATATTTTGTAAAATCCCTTAGAAGTTTGGGATCAGAGCACCAATAAACCCACAAAATGTATTTATTTGTATTGGGCTTTTGCTTTCTTGGTGAACTAGAGCAACGATGCTCACCACCAGCAAACAAGTGGCCAAAGGTGAAGTATAGAGTGAGATGAGTCATGGATCCAAAACACATTCAAGATAATCATGGATAATCATGAGATATGTGCCTTCATATGTGCATGTTTTATGAGATGCACTGTGTTACTGATAAAGGAGAACTTAAGCCATCATTAAATAACAAAGCTACTAATTCTAGACCTTGGACAGACCTCCTGGGCTGTCTGTCAATGCTCTCATTTCTTACTCCTCATCCATCTCCTTACCAGAGTTACTGCAGCGGGAGGGGTCAACAGGTCTTCCGTTTTTATCAGAGCAGGCTATTGCTCGGAAGCGCACGCCCTGTCCGCATTGTTTGCTGTCTCCTTGTACCCACAATCCTCGCTGAGGCTCCATTCTGCTTTCAGGAAGAATGCAATCTGACCAATTTCCGTAAGGTTGGGATATAAATACATCGCAAGGACACAGTTCTGTTTCCACTAGAGGGTACATGTCAGCATCCTGGCACTTCTCCTTCTTCCTGCTTTTTCCTGTGCCAATAAGAAACATTGGTGTATTAATTTCATATCTGCTGTTTTGTTAAAATTCACTCACAGTATTATATTTAAAAGCTCTTAACAATATTGTCTTAAATAATATAAAGTCTTTTTAGTTTTCATTCTTTTGTGCATAGAATTAAATCCTAGGACAATGGAAGCAATTCCCAGAGTAGATGTGAAATTCAAGTTAACTTGACAAAAAAAAAGTGTTTGATGTTGGAGAGGGGCACAAGATAAAACGAGAAACATTTGCTACAGTGGCTCAACAGTTAGAAAATTCTTGTCAATGTATTTATTATTTTCCCTACAATATGTTGATAAAAAACAGATTAATTACCTTGTCACCATTTTCCTTGAAAGTTATGGTTGCCAAGGAAACTAACAAAAGGTATAAATATTGACTCCTTTTTTCTTTTTTCCAAGCGACTTTTTAAAAACCAATTATTTATTCAAGGAACAAAATAATATCTCCCATACAATGGAGTGAGTCTGGGTGTCACTTGGATGTGATAGACAAAGTGGAACTTACTTTGTTTCCCATTACCAGGCAGTTTACAAACACCTGCAGAATCAATAGATTGAAATACATGCTAAAATCATACTGAATAATTTAATCTGAGAAAAAGCTATGGCTTCTACTTTGAGAGACCTTTCTTACTTAAGGATTCTGAATATGACTTTACCTTACCAAATGACTTTAATGAACATTTTAGTTGTAATCCCAACTTTGAATAATGACAATGTGGAGTCATTTTTCATAGCTCTGAGTACCAGATAACCATGTTTAATGGATTCCAACTCAGCCTGTAACTTGATTCAAATTTTCCATCAATACACTTCCTCTAGATTCCTAAACGTTTCCCTCGATCTAGTAATTCCACTTTTTGTTTCCTCATTAATGGGTCATTAGCTAGCCATGGCTGTTTATTAAAAGTGGGCATCTTTCTTGATCTAGTCCCAGTCTTTAGGATTATTTTATTTTTTAATATGTTTTTTTATTGCTGATAGTGTTACAGATATCTCCCATTTTGTCCCCCTTCACCCCTCCTCTCAACCCCTACCCACCCACCCCCAGGTCTTCACCATCTTATTTCCTATGTCTATTGGCTATGCATATAAGTATGTAAGTTCTTTGGTTTATCTCTTCTTATCCCCCCTCAAAATACTCAATACAAGCTAAAGCTAATACATAGACTACTTTCTCCTTATCAGACAGTTTACATTACACACAACAATTCTATGGTTGTCACCTAATGAGTGGCTTTCTGGCCTTTCCTGATTTTTAAATTATTTTTAAACTAGAGGCCTGGTGCATGAAATTCGTGCCAGGGTAGGGACCCTAGGCCTGGCTAGCGATCAGGGTCGATTTGTCCGGCGAATGGTGGGGCAATCAGGGGAACCCCTCCCCCCCCCACCCCCCCACCCCCCGTCACCTGCCTTAGCTGGTCTAGGGCCTGCAAGCTGGGGGAAGCTCCTGCGTTGAGCATCTTCCCCCTGGTGGTCAGTGCATGTCATAGCAAGCGATCATTCCACCGGTCTTTCTGCTTCTTGGTCAATTTGCATATTAGGCTTTTATTATATAGGATTATTGATTGATTTGAAGAGAGAGAGCAAGCAACATTGATTTGTTGTTCAACCTATTCATGCATTCATCAGCTGCTTCCCATAAGTGCCCTTACCAGGGATCAAACCTACAATCTTGTCATATTGGGATAATGCTCCAAGCAACTGAGCAATCCTGCCAGGGCCTTCCCTGATGCTTATGGCCACAATAAACAAGGTTTTTACAGGACCTGCAATGATCTTGCAAAAGATTCAGACATACCACTGTACCTCTGTGAGGGTGTATTCATTCGCTTTTCCCATTAGAGGTACTTACTAAGAACACATTTGAAAAACACGGTTTCCAGCATGGCTTGAATTTGCACTGGTTGAGAGATGTACAAATAGGTGGTGAATAGCTCCTTCCATCAACATTTAGTTTAACCTACCTGAATCTATTATCTCCATCCCTTCTAATTCCACTGTCTTCTCAACACACTTAACCCTGAATTCTGAATTTAACTATTGGTTGAAACCACTTACTCTTGCCAAAGTAATAAAACAAAGCGCTGGAATATCTTTTTGTCCCTTATATTTCAGAGTTGGTTGTTTAATGACAGTTCAGAGTGAGACTTTACCATCATTCTTAAAATATCCCTTCCAAGTTCTATCACACCTTACCTTTTGGTTCCTCACCCTTATCCCACCTCTCCACTATTTCTCTGGTAACACCTTACTTGTTTGTTTTTTTAATTTTTCTTCCTCTATACCTCCCTTAACTGACTGATGGGCTTCCTGGGGGCACTGCCCTAGATTCTCTTTTCTGATCCTAAATTTTCAACACCATAATGTTTAAATAACCATCTAGAACTCATAAATCCATCATTATTATCTTCAGCCCATACTTCTTGTTCAAGTGTCTGAGCCACAGACTAGAAATCTACACCTAAAAGGCCAATCAGATTCAACCTGGCAAAACCCACACTCATCCTCTTAGTATCTCTTTCTCCTTTATTTCCCAATTATATCAACATGACCAAATCCAAAACTTGTCATACTTAAATCATTCCGTTGTATACATATATCTATTTAATGGCAATGACCTATCATTCCAAATACTTATATATCTCTTGAATTAGTTCAATGTTTCCATTATGGCCAATGCCACCCATACTTAGCTCACCTCCAAATCAATAGCTTAAATCACTACAATGGCTTCGTCCAAAATTGTATTGCCACTCTGCCTCATTCCCTTCAGTCTATTGCCCTCACTGCAGTCAGGACCAGCTTACAAAGATTGAAATCTGATCACATCATCCATCTACCTTACACTCTCCAGTGACTTATCACAGTTCATGGAATGAAATCTGGCCTCCTCACCATGGTTATCAAGGACCATAGGATCTGAGCCCATAAATGTCTGTCTCCTGCCTGCATTGGACTACTCTGCCTCTGGCATGTTTGGACAGAAAAGAAAAAGGCTATAATAAGTCGTAAATTCCTAACTGGGCAGGTCATGATGGGTAGTCATGCCCCAGGCCTATGACTTCTTTAGGGAAAGGTTTTTAAGCAAACTCTGTCCATTGTTCTTGTGAATCTAGTTCAGACATCTTTGAAAGGACTGAACAAAAACCCATGAAGGTGTAAGCACCCTTAGGAAAGCATATAACCTTGTAATCCATCCCTGCCTTGCTTTTCTCCACCCTCATATAATCTTCCTTATGTTCTCTCCTTAATTTCAAATGCATACAAGAAACTGCTTGGAGCTTTTGAGATCTTGCTCCCTGGCATATGTTATCAGCTTGGGCTCAAAAAAAGCACAAAAAAACTCTTATAAAAATTCTCTACAGGTCTGGACACTTCTTATGTCAACACATGTGACAAGCTAGTAATATTGAGCACCTTTCAGTTCCTAAAAATTATCCATTTGGCTTCTGGCCTTTGCATGGCCCCACTCCAGACATTCTCAACAGTTCCATCCTCCCTCCAAAGCCTAGTTACTTCCTCCATGTTCTTCAGGTCAAACTAATAGACTGCTCCCTCCAGAAAGCCACATGGGATATGCTCTTCATCTCAGGTCTAGAAGAGGTGTTCTTTTCATATAGTTAGTTGAAGGCAAATAATGGCTCTCCAAGGAAGTTCCCATCCTAATTCCTGAACCAGTAAACATTCTCCATTCAATGGCAAAATAAACTTTGCAGATGTGAATAAAACTATAGATTTTTGAGATGAAATTAGTCTGGATTATATGGTTGGGCCTAACCTAATCACATGGTCCTAAAATCAGAGGACCTTTCCTGATTGACTAGAAAATCAGAGAAAAATACGACAATGGAAGAGTGGACACAGAGAAGCAAGGTTGCTAGATTTCAAGTCAGAGGAAGTGAGAGCCATGAGCCAAGGAATGTGAGCAGCCTACAGAAGCTGGAAAAGGAAAGCAAACAGATTTTCTCTTAGTGCCTCTTGAAAGGAATTCAATCCTGCCAAGATCTTGTTTTTAACCCTATGAAATCCATGTCTGTCCTTAGACCTACAGAGCTGTAAGATAACAAATTTGTATTGTTTTAAGCCAACACATTTGTGGTAATTTGTAACAGTAGCATTAAGAAAGCAATACAACACCCTTTATAACAGCTATTGGAGCATTCTGCACTGTGTTGTACCACTGAGCAGGTATATACTGGTCAAAATCTCCATCTCCCATTAGACTGTAAGCTCTAAGTTAGGATCATGTCTAATTCCCTTATAATATTCTCAAAGCCTCACACACATAAGTGATCAACAAAAAATGTTTATACAATAATTGAAACAAAAAAATTTTAAGAAGGGAGAATGAAAGCGAGAGAAGGAAAGAAGAGAGTAAGTGAGATGAAAAGAGAGAGAAGAGGAAGAAAGAACATGTTAATCAACAAGGCAACCTAAAGTTCCTGGCAGAACAAATATTCTGTACAATATACACTCTCTCTATATTTATGATCTTTCTTAACTACATGGAACCATTGTTTTACCAACTTGAGCAAGTTAGTTAATGCAGAAATGGTTCTCACAATAAGGAACAAAATTACTTTGATTATCTTCTTGTCAATATCAGTATTAACCTTTGGATTCAAATTAGCTACCACTAATTTTTTTTAAAAATCAATCCCTACTACAACTCTAAAGACATTTTTCTCCTTAAGTCAGAGGGAAATTTGTGACTGATCCCACCAAAAACAGAACTAAAGTACTAAATATGTTTGTATTGGTTATCTAGTTACTATATATATTATATTAAAACCTGGACATATCTTCTATGTAATGGATTATTTCCAGCATTATAAAAACAACTGCTTTGATTACCAATTTAAAACCTGTGATGATTTAGTTTAGAATCAATGCACAGACACCCAGATACTGAAGTCTTCTGTTTAAAATGTAAAAAAAGAATAATAAGCACCCTCGATGGTCCCCTATTCAATGGGGAGACTTGTATTTGTCTGTGTGCCTCTCCAAGTGCAGCTGTGTTAAAGAGGCACATTGTTTTATGGTTTAAGTTCATGCCTCTTATTGTCATTCATGCTCTCGATTGCTTATTAAATTTACTACCAAATTACATGGAGGAAAGCCAAATACAAGTGGTATATCACAATCAAAATAAGTCTTCAGAAGTTGAAATTTTCAATTCACTACCTTTTTTTCAACAAAAATACTAAATGATTTATTTGACTGGTTTTGCAAAGCTCATATTTAAATAAGTTGAACAGTTATTTTGGTGTAGCTTAGATGTTAAAATATCATTCAGCTAGCTAAAAGCATGGCAGTTAATTTAGAAAAGAAATTCTAAATACTTTTTAGTACAAGTAATTTTAAGATAGAATTTGCAGAAACATGTTCAATATTTACATAAATATATTTTAAATAAATCAAATTCATTAAAGTTTTGACAATTCACACAAAAAACTATGCTGGTTGTAAAATGAAAAAAAAATATCCTAGAATTTTCAATATTTTCCTTTCTCAGTTTGCAAGTATAAAATATCATTAGCAAACTTTAAGACAAGGAAAAACTGGTCATGAATGAAAACATTTTCCCCCTTTATAGGAGATTCTCATTCATCTCAAAGATTTAGGTGAACCAGAATAACGTCTTCTACATAATGATGTATGAACATGCAAACCAAGTTTCACTTATGTTGCCCTGTGAATTTGAAACCATTCCTGTCATACACATGTACCCCATTATATCATTTTATCTTAGAAACATAAGCAATGTTGCTTGAAATTACATATGTAAAGATTTTTTTTATAGAAGAGAAAGCACAAAGTACAGCACATTTTATTTGATGTTTTTATATGTGATCATAAGTTTCACCTACACTTATGAATGAGCTCCTGACTTGTATGCATAAATACTCTTCAAGCCTCTCACCCATGAAGTAAATCTATTAGAGTGAGTTACATTTAAAACAATCTTACAAGCAATGCATTCCAACAAAGGGGTCTTGAAAACAAGAGAATTGGCACTTGAACTACCAATAAGTACTACTCATTGTGCTGAGTTCTTCAAGGTCAACACCAATTTTATTATCCCAATGATTAGTTTGGCATTTTTCCTTTGGCTTCCCGTTGCCCGAATTAAATTTTCCATGTATACAAATACACATACAATTAAGAGAAGTTCTGGTATGTCTACCTGGACAAGTAGTAAAATACACTACTGTTCCAGGTATTTGTACACTGCAGGCAAAAAATGCTACAGGACCTTGATTAAACTAGTAATTATTTTAATTTTCATTAAATTTCATGGATGCAAACAGAATCAGTAATTAATAACAGACCACAAAAGCAGAATCTATGTATGTAACTCGATTTTTACCTCATAATACTAAAATTTTTAAATGGTAAATTGCTCATGAGGTAATGGCAAAAGACTATGACATAGGTTAGATATACCTTTGATGTTCTTTACAAATCACCTACTGTTTTTAACCTTGCTGGGATCCTGGCACCAGAAATTTAGCCATTAACTACTTCCGGAAAATTGGTAAATATATTGCCATTTATGACTACAAGGTGGGACAATAGTAGGCTTACAGTTGTTCATATGGAAAATAATACAAGAATTAATAACACCAGAATAAACTCCGTTTCACATACAACTATAAACCTGCTTTTGCCCCACCCCATACAAAGATTATAAAGCTGTATAGAGAATATCATAGCTATAGAATGGTTCCCATTGTTCATTCATTTCACAAATACTCATTGAGTACATAGGATGCGCTCAGCATAGGCACAGAGGGTAATAATGGCCTGGAGGGGTAGGAGAGGGGGAGACCCGATACAGTTTCCTGTCTTTCTGGAGCTTACATTGTCCTCGGAAAGTTCAGGAGTGCAGCACTGGCTGCAGCTAAGACATGGAAAGCACACTTACCTGTGAGCTGTCGCCGTCTGCTTCGGGTTGTTCCACAATTGGTGGAGCAGGGTGTAAACTTGGACCAAGCCGTGAAGGTGCAGTCGTCTCGACATGGGACCGTGCATTCTTGCACAAGGGGAGGCATGCCATTTGCCTGCTTGAGGCATTCGGTCATTTCTGCTGACTGGTTATCATCAGAGATGCAAGAGATAGCTAAAAGAGAGTACACATGCGGGTTATTTTGTTGTTTTCAGTAAATCAGTCTGCTGCTACTTGTTTGATAAAAATAGTAGAATGCTCCAAGGTTTGAAAACATAGTTGTTACTGTGAAAGCAAAAGGTCTTCAAAATAGCCATCCTTATTTCTCTCTAAAAATTAAATATTTATTGTTGCCATGGAGGTATTTGATGACTTAATCGGTTATTAAATCACTTTCAGTAATTTATTATGTATGTCCTGCCTGTAAGCATCTGATCTCAAGGGAGGTCACAAAACTAGGTAAGAGAACCAGTGAGAGTAATACCAGTATGTAGACAAAAAAACAAAACAAAAAAACCACACACACACACACACACACACACACACACACACACACACACACATGTGCGCGTGCACACACACACAATCGTCAGAGCTCTTTCTAGGTTTTCTTGTCAATTTTCTTATTTAAATGTCACTTATGGAAGTGGCCCTGTTTTCACTTCACAGTATTTAAAAAAGAATTTCTGCTGTCAATAAGTAAATTTGTTTTTCTCATTATTAAAGTTTCAGGAACAGTTAAAGATTTTATTTTATTTTTTCAAGTACAGGCATACCCTATTCCAGTGGTTCTCAACCTTGGCTGCACATTAGAATCACCTGGGAATCTTTTCAAAATCCTGATTTCTGGGCCTCATCCTCCGGAAATTCTGTTTCTTTGTTATGGGGTGGGGCCACAACATTAGTAACAAATAAACAGAATTTCTGGAGAATGAGGCCCAGAGATCAGGATTTTAAAAAGATTCCCAGGTGATTCTAATGTGCAGCCAAGGTTGAGAACCACTGCCCTATTCAGATAATTCCCACTACAAGTATCTTATCAATTGCAGATAACACTCCAAAGTCTCTTTCACATAGTTTTTATTTACTTTTTAAATTGATTTTAGAGAGGAAGGGAGAGGTATAGGGAGATAGAAACATTGATGAGAGAGAAACATTGATTGCTGCCTCCTGCATGCCTAATACTGGGCATGGAGCCCGCAACCCAAGCCTGTGCCCTGACTAGGAATAAAACTATGACCTCCTGGTTCATAGGTCGAAGCTCAACCACTGAGCCCACCATCTGGGTTTTCACATAGCTTTTTAACTAGACTGTCTCTAGTCATATCATAAAATAACTAAAACAGTTATGAAATTTTGCTTATATTTTGGTTTGATTTTTGGACTGACATTTATTTATTTATGAATGAATGATATGTTTGGGTATCTTTTATTTACCCTGGTTAATTGGGAACTCTCTGAGGATATATCTTTATATTCTCTAGACCAGTGTTTCTTAATCTTGGCATTATTCATGTTTTAGATTGAGTAATTTCTTATTGGTACAGGAGTGTTTCTTGTGCATTGTATCTCAGGCCTCTACCTGTTAGATACCAGTAGCACACATACCCTCTCAGCTGTGAAAACCAAACATTACTCCACACACTGGCAAACACTGTCCCTAGTTGAAAACTATTCTTTTAAAGGATTCCTAACCATGGATGTCTCAAAATACAGAAGTTCATGGCATGGCTTCAAGCCTGCTCTATCAGCATCTCTGGGGGAGAAACCCAGGAATATTTTGACTGTAAGTGCCCCAGGTGGTTTTGAACAACCTGCCCACTGACCACCCATATTTGGTGTGGTGCCGTTGGACATGTATGTCAATGGCTATTTGCTGAGTTCATGATCACAAAGAAACCACTGAGTAGAATCTTTTTTATTATAGCTCTTTAAAATTTGCCAAGTTCCAAATAAACTACAGCTTAGGATCAACATTGTTAAAACTATTTATATAAACTATTCCAATATAGGGCTAATGTACATAGGGGTTCCTTTCAGTTGCCCATTCTTATATTCTGAATTATGTTCTTTATTCTGAACACAATAAAGAACAAGTCCATCTGAATAACATTTTTTAAAAACTGGTAAAAGCCAAATCTATCTAATGCTTTAAGACCAAGGAATTAGCTAAGATGACGATGGATGGACACACATTACTGCCCAGTTTGTGTATCTGCCCAGTGGCAGGTCAGGCTATTCATTCATTTTGAATAGTTCTGTTTTTAACCACATCCTGGGGACAGGATTCATCATACAGCAAGACAACATCACCTGCATTTTTTTTAAATTGGGAATATTACAGCCATTAATGATGAATACAGCAAAATACTTTAAGTAGTGTACAAGCAAACATTATCTGAATTTTATGTTTAGCTAAACAACTTAGAATCAATTTAGGAGACTTTTATCAGGCCAAGTTAATTTTCCCCCCAAATGGAAATGTACTGAATAAGATGAAGAACGTTAAATGCTTTTAAAAAGCATTGCTACTTTTCCAGTGATAAATTTATAGTATTCAAAAGAAATACTAGAAAACAAATGTCTAAAACTTGAATGCTATGATAAATAACATTTCAAGTTCTACAAATTATTTAGAGTAGAATACTCTAGACTTATGTCTATTGGAAGTATTTTTGCGTTAATAAATGAAAGCATTAAGAAATTTTAAAACAGCTATAGCATATGTTGGAATTAACAGACTTTATTGTCAAATGGCATGAATGCAACTACACACCTAAATATCTGGGATTTATATGAACTAAGATACGTTATTTAAGTTTTTATGCTTTCATTTCCTCATCTTCAAAATGAATATGATAAGGACACCTATAACAAAGAGTTGGGGGCATTCTTAACACATTATCTTATATAGGCTAAGAGCTCAATAAATGCTAAAATTATTATCCTTTATATTTGTTTTTTAAATTTTCTTTAAATCAATCAAGCTCTTGTTGTCCTACCAAGTATATATGGACATACTCTTACTTTCCACCTCATTTCTTCCTTGTCATTCTCAGAATCCAAAGGATAAAGGTGAGGAGAAAACTGGTTGAATCTTCAACTGATTCTGGCACTACACTAACAATCATTAGTCAGCCTATATATATACCCATATACAGCTAGTATATATATATCTATATCTATAGAGATCACACTCACCACACCACACACACACTACACATATATATATGAAGTAATATGCAAATGAGGTCAGGGCTCCATAACAGTCACAACCAGCTTAGGAGGAGGGGCCAGGAGCAGCCCCGAGCCTGAGAGATCAACACAGAGGGGAGCCTGCTCCGAGCCCCCATGGTGTGGCAGGGGGCAGGCCCCCAGCGGACACACACACATGTGGCACCTGCTCCAAGCCTCCACGGCCAGACAGTGGCTTAGGCGAGCCCCCATGACCTAAGCCATCAGTAGGACATACCCTGAGGGCTCTCGGACTGCAAGAGGGAGCAGACTGGGCTGAGGGACCCCATTCCCCAGTGCATGAATTTCATGCACTGGGCTTCTAGTATATCAGATAAACCCTGAACACTTCCACTATTTTAACAGAGCTTCACAGAGCAAATCAGATCGATCACTCCCTGATGTAGTAAACTAGCCTAATGAAGACACTAGAGGTCTTAAGTGCCACAGAATGTATTCAAAATGGTAGCATGAACAACATCCACATTAATCTGAAGAGCACAGCTCTATGTTACTAGTGATGATCAAGTAACCCAAGCAACTGACACACTACAGGTCATGCAATCATCAGTTTGGTCTAAGCATTAAGGTTTTTAAATTTCTTCAAATTCAAGATTCTGATTTATTTTTAAGTGTGAAAGGAGTAACAAGACAAAAAAAAGTCAGATACAGAATGGTGGTTATCAAAGGGGAAAGAGGATGAGGGCAACATGAAGTGGGTAAGGGTTCAAATATACTAGGTATGATAACAGAAGGAAACTAGACTTTGGGTGGTGAGCACACAACAGAGTCCACGGATGTTGAACTATAATCTTTTATAGCTGGAAATTATATAATATTATTAACCAATGTTACCCCAATAAATGTAGTTAAAATAGCTAGAAACATTAGAATAAGTTAAATGAAGCATTTCTCTTCTTGGGAATGTTCTAGTATAAGAGCGATAATTTAATAATAATTTTATGAAGGACTGGGCATTGAACCTTAGTAAAGGGTAAGAAAACACTGAGGCAATAGCAAGCAAGAAGTCTGCAGAACTGGAAAACCAGCAACAGAAAGAAAACAGATAAACACACAAAGGAAATAGAGACTGAAGACACATAGAGAAAACAAGGTAACTGGTACCCAGATATACAACCCAATTCAGAGCCCCTTCCATGGGGCAACTATGGGCAAAGGATATTTTTAAAATATTAATTACTTTCCACCCACAATATAGTCCTGTGACTAATATTAAAATGTACAGACTCCCTAATCCAGAGAACCTCTTTAACAGAGTGCTGATCCAATTGCAGGCCTTGGTGTCAAATGAAACTAACGGTAACTCTTTATTTTATTTATTTTTTTATTGTTACCTTGGGAAAATTATGTAAACTCTTTTAAGACCCATCTCATCCAGACTATGGAGATGATAATAATACCAGCATCATATAATTTAAAAAATAATGCATAAATTAATACAGATATAGTTCTAGGATGAGAACTGAACACTTAGTACATTAGTACATGTGCCCTGAGAGTGACACATTACTATGAAGAAGGTTATTGGAAATGAAATGTAAGAAATGGAAATAAAGAAGAACCCAGCATCACTTGTCTTGGTTCTTGAGTGAGAAAGAATTTTCCAAATACCTCCCAGACCTTCTTGACCCCTAAGAAGTGTGACTGGAACCTTCTTTGAATAATAATGTTAAAGTTAGCAGCTTCTTCCAAAGACCGCATGGCCCTCCCAAGGAGACTGTTATATTTCCAAATGAAGCCCCATGCACTCTGCTTAGTGTCAACAAAAATTAGGCTACCTTATAAGCTTGTAACTCCCGGAAAAGCCAGAAACTGAAATCTAAGGCCTATAGTATATTTCTCCCTGAAGTAACAAGATTAAACTCCTTAACAACGCTTAGCAAAGAGCTTAATGAAAGTGAACATTTGTACAAAAGAGT